TTGAATAAGATGGTTTGGGATGTTCTGTGTGATATACACACACCATAAAAAAAATCAATAAAAATTTTTAAATGTATTATATTTTAGGAGGAAGCATGGAAATTTACATCATGCTAATTAGTAGAGGGATAAACATTACCACTGAAATCTACTCAATGACTTTATAGACATACACAGGCACCAAGGATCCAAGTGCAACTGATTATGACTAGTAATAGATACATACAGATTAGAGATGCATGCACCAACATCTCAGTGAAAGTAGCAAAAACAATGAGGCTTTCTGCAAGGAACAATATATTCTAAAACAAAATGGAGATCTTTTTTGAAGATTAAAAATTCATTCAATTTTAAGTCTTATAGGGCTTATACTGAGTTCAATATTGTATAACTGTATTAATTCAACTGTGAACCTAGAAACTTACAGCCACTTGTGAAAGAGATGTACTCTTGTCTGGAGTGTGTTACTGAATATGTTAAAGCTGTAATGAAATCCTTCTTTTAATCATGTAGTTATTAAAAATTTTAAAAAGTAAAAGTTAAATAACTAAAAATTGAGTTAAATAAATGTCCTAGTTTGTTCTTCATTGCTGTGACAAAATGCTCTGACCAATACCAAATTCAGAAGGGAAGGGTTTATTCAACTTACATCTCCCAGGTTGAAGTTCATCAGGGAGCCCAATGTAGGAACTCAGGGCAGGAACCTGAAAGCAGGAGCTGGAGCACAGGCCATGGAGGAACTCTGCTTACTGGCTTGCTCCCCTGGCCCCTGCTCAGCCTGCTTTCTTATGCAACACAGGCCCACCTGCCCAGGGATGGCATCACCCACAGTGGGCTGGGCCCTCCCACATCACTCATCAAGATGATGCCCCTCAGACATGGCCACAGGCCAGTCCAATAGAGGCAATTCCCCAATTGTGGCTCCCTCAACCCAGGTGTGTCAAGTTGACACTAAAGCTATCCAGTACAATAAATGACCAATCAATTAATTTAGGAATTAAAAGTAGAATACAGAAAATCTGAAAATAAAGTTTAGTTTTAAAAGATGTTCTATTATTTTTAAATTATGGGTATGGCATGTGTGTCTGTGTGTGGGTATCTGCAAGTGAGTGCAGGTGCACTAGAGATCAGAGGTTTCAGATCCTGTGCAACTGGAATTACAGGTGGTTGAGAGGCACTAGACATCGGTGCTAGGAACTGAACTCAGGTTCTTTGGAAAAGCAATATAAGCTCTTATTCACTGAGCCATCTCTCTAGGCCAAAAATTTTATTTAAAAAAAGTCTGTGATATATCAATGTAGGCTGATCGATTCCAACAAACTCACTATTTTGGTGCAGGATGTTGACAGGATAGGAGATAAATGTAGGAAATTTATATATCTACTTTGAAAAACAGAATAAACTATTTTGAAAAACTAAAAGAAAGATGTGGTCTCAAAGATCAAAATATTATCACTATCACACAAGATGATGACCAGTACTCCACTTTCACAAATCTAAAAATATTATTTTAAAGTGACAAAGAATGTTTGTCAATACCACTGTTAGCATAAAATCTAAACAGAAGCAAAGAGAATATATTTAATGTGAAGATATGTATACATTTGTACCACTGATTTTAGATTCTAGGGAGATATCTAGGACATAAGAACTGGCATGGAGAATGTTATATTCCTAGGAGACTATAAGGTAGACCTCTGGCCTAAAAATGCATGGAACAAAGTAAGGAAAAAAAAAAAAAGGAAGATCAGAACACAGAGCACATGATTTACTGACTGGCAAGAATAAAATCAGTATTTCTAAAATTAGAAAGTGTTACTTGTTTCTCCAAAAGCTGTTTTGTTTTGGCCACAGCTCTTGTGGCCAAATTAAGCTGAAGCTATTCCCATATATTGAGTTCTAATAAGTACGTGAAATAAACCTGCAGTAGGAAAGTATTTTCTTGCTATACAGTATTATCACACATGGGTATTAAAAATGGGATAAATATTCTAACATTACAGATTATAGAACAAGTAGTTTACATTACAGACTAAAACAAAGAACTGATTATCATAAATATTTAATTTGCTATTTAAACTCATTTAATTCTGCTAATTAAAGTGATCCATTTGTATATTACTTCAACTCCAAAAAAAAAAAATATCTAAGGAAGACAGCAAAATGTGTTTAGTTTGGCTTTCTATTAAACTATAAATGTTTTTTAAACATTTTTATATTTATTTTTTTTTGGGTGTGTGTCTGTGTATGTGTGCCACTACGTGCGTGTGGAGGTCAAAGGACAAACTGCATGACTTGGTCCTCTCCTTCCATCATGTGGATTCCAGGGACCAAATCAAGTTGTTAGGCTTGGTAGCAAGTGCCTGTACCCACTAAGCTATTCTGCCAGCCCCGAACTTCAGTATTCTTGCTAAAATGTAAGTTTCTATTTCCAAAGCCTCTTGGAGATAAGCAGCTTACAAAATTGCCACAGAATAGTGACTTACAGAGAAGAAATTGTAAATAGGCTACAATCTTTCCTCAAATACAGAAAAAAATTGTTAAAATGGTTCTATTCAATTTTGTTTTGAGAAAAAAATATACATTAAGAAAAATATATATGAAGATATCAACAGTGGAACCAAGACCTAATCAATAATGCTCAGCACTGGGATAGTGGTAAAGTCTTGTAGCTATCTAATAGTACTAAGAGGAATTGGTATACTAGGCTTTGAGCATCTATGTAAAACTTTAAAAAGCAATGTAAGATTACCTATCTAGGATTGATACTTCCATCGATTTCATAATTTACTCTTTTATCTGATCATCTGTTTTGGCACCGCTTCAAAATATTTCCTTCATTTTATAACCGATAGAACTCTTTATAAGTTTTAGAAAATTGAAATCGTAGTTCTAAAAGAATGTCAAATTGTTTCTTTGCTAAATTAGTATGTTCAGTTTTCAAGATGGATTTAATTTGTGCCACTTGATAACAACCTTTTCTGGATTTGTAATTGTCTCTTTCCATTGGTTCACTGCTTCAATGTTATTACTGTCTTCACTTATCCAGACCTGTAAAGGAACAGAACAGTCATTTAACTTGACAGAATATTAAGTAACTGAGGTTAAACAATTACTTATTGGTAAAAGATATGAATGTCTGGGTTACATATTTTTAAAGTAAACATCATTCCATTTTTCCAAAAGTTACTTGATGATTTGACACTTAAAGTCAAAATATTTAACCTGATGAATCATTCTGAAGATTATACAATCCAATTTAATTTAGGATGAAATTAAAATCACTCTGTGAGTATCCTCCTTATTCAGTTAATCTAGGAGGTCAACTAAACTTAATCCTGATCACATAAAAATATTTTTGCCAAGATTTACTAAACTGAGGCCAATAATGATTTCACCCAGTAAGAACGTGCACACAAGCACCTTTTATATTAAATAAAATTATAACCTTAATTGTAATCTAATAAACAGTCATTATTGATCCATAATAATTTCATAGTACCCATCTTATATAACTACAGATAATATATGTGAATTATCTTGAAAAACATAATACTATACAAATGTATATCACGACGGATATACATATAATATGGGAACAAGGCAGACAGGAACCACAAAACCTGAATGTTTGCCTTAGCTTTAGCATCAACTAATGCTGTTACTTTGGAATTAACTTCTCTGAGGTCTGAGTAAATAACTGGTTTTCAAACGTCTTTCTATGTTGGCCTTAAGAAACATTACTTCCAATAACATCTTACACAGACCCCAAAACATAACATAGGTAACGTAAGTATTTGGGTGGATAGAACAGTAGAAGAATTTGATGGTGGCTGACACTTGAGACTCCATCGAAGATATAAGAACAGATGACTAGCAAGAACCTTTCCAGATTTCTTATCTTGGAAATCACCTTTCTAAAATAAATTTCCTACTCCATTCATACACGATAGTTGAAACATGACAATATAGAAAACTAACTTCACAGGCCTCATGGCTATGAAAAGTTTGTTACATAAGTTTCTGAATTCAAATTATTTTCCAAATAAGAATACAGAAAACTATAAAAATTGGTACTCTAATACGAAAAAGTGAGAGTTTATATCACTCTTTGAAAATTCATATACATAATCTGAAGATCTCATGGAGACTTAATAATATCTTGTTCAAATAGAAGCTTTTAAACAAGTCATAGACTTCAAGTTTTAAATATGGCTCAAACACTTGTAATTAAGGTAAAAGATGACCAATAGCTACCACTAATTAGAGTAAGGAAAGAAACTATAAAAGGAAACAAATTTCTATACGCTTGACAGCAAGGAGTGCTACATAGATTTAAACAAATTACTCATAATTTTTACAGCAGAATCGACTAAATAATAATACAACCAGTTTTTTATTTTATTTTATTTTATGTGTATGCATGTATTGCCAGCATGTAGGTAAGTGCACCCGTGCCGTTCAATGCTTGTGGAGGTCAGAAGAGGCTGTCAGATCCCCTGGGACTGGTGTTACGGACAGTTGTTAACTGCCATGTGGGTGCTGGGATTCAAACACAGGTCTTCTGCAAGAACAACCAATGTTCCTAACCACTGACCCATCTCTCCAGCCTCAATACAACCACTGTTAAAAATTGATATTTTCACACCTGGCGTTGTGGTGCATGCCTGTACTTGGGAGGCAGAGGCAGGTGGAGCTCTGTAAGTCCAAGGCCAGCCTGGTCTACAGAGTGAGCTCCAGGCCAGCTGGGGCTACAGGGAGACCCTGTTTCAAAACAACAACAACAAAAAAAAACTGGGCCAGGCGTGGTGGCACATGCCTTTAATCCCAGCACTCGAAAGCTGGCGGATCTCTGTGAGTTCAAGGTCAGCCTGGTCTACATAGTGAGTTCCAGGACAACTGGGGCTACCAGGAGACCCTGTCTCAAAAGGACAAAAAAAAAATTGATATTTTGTAGAACTTCAAACCTGTCATAACTGAGTTAATAAAGGGTTCATGTGAAACAGAATAAAGTAAATGTGATACACAAAGTCTTAAGTTTGACATACATATTTAGGGTTCTCTCTTTCTACAATGAATTAGCAAGCAGTACTGAAAACTGATCTTATAATTTAAAGTTGAAAAGTTTAGGAAAGGCTTAAAAATTAACTCTGACTGCTCAGAAATTTTATCTATTTGTATTAAAGCAAAACATATGACAAAATTTGATTCTGTAATAACACTGAATTTTAACCTAGGCTGCTAAAGAATCTTCCTCTCTTCAATTTCGATTTTATCCTGTACCCTTTCTCAACTAACTACACAATAACACACAGGAAAATATAAGTAAGAAGTCCAAGGTAACCCCTACTAACCTGGCCTACAAAGTGTTTTCTTCTTACAGAGCTTCGACTATAGAGCTTAACAAGGAAAACAATTTCTTTTTCAGTCTGTATGAGAGGGAAAATCATAGTTTCTCCCCATTTTACTCTTCCACTGGAGGCCTTCAGTAAGCGTGTCTTCTTCTTATAAATCAACTCTCCTGAGCTAAACATTCCCACTTTCACAAAAAAGCCTATAAAACAAGAAACTCTGGTTTATAAAGTTTTTTGTAAAATACTGCATAAAGGTGTATTTATATACTGGTTATTGTAAAATTATAAATAAGCAACTTTAAAAGGTCTTATGACTATTGCTTGACAACAGAACACATCTCCAGTCAACTTTACAGCTGTTACCATATAACTATCTAGCCTCAGATAGATTTAATCTTCCTCTGGTCTGAATGACATCATTCACTGGATTTGTATGTCTAAGTAAGAGTCATCAGCAAAGGAATACACATTTAAAGAATTACACCAAGAGAAGTGTCAATTTTCTGGACAGCTAAAGACATTTATTTTACAAGTTTGGTAGAAACTGCCAGTAAATTATTTTGGCCTTGGTGCTTTACATCTTCTTTTTTTATACATTTTATTTATTATTTTTATTTTATCTGTATGAGTGTATTGCTTGCACGTAGGTCAGTGTACCCATATCATGCAATGATTTTGGAGGTCAGAAGAGGGCGTCATATCCCCTGGAACAAGAGATAGATAGATGATTGTTAGTCTCCATGTGGATTCTGGGAATCAAACCTGGGTCCTCTGCAAGAGCAGCCAGTGCTCTTAACCGCTGAGTCATCTCTCCAGCCCCCTATATCTTATTATGATTATGATTATTATTATTATTATTTACGTGTGTGTGTGTGTGTGTGTGTGTAGGTGTAGGTGTGTATGCATGTGTGTGCATAGGCCAGAGGTTGATGTCAGGTATCCTCAATTACTCTCTATCTTTAGAGACAGGGTCTTTCACTAAGCCTGGCACTCACAGATTGGCTAGATAGGCAGGCCAGAGTGCTCTACTCCCCCCACTTCAGGGTAAGAGACATGCATGACCACCCTGAGATTTTTTTATGTAGGTGCTAGGGTTCAAAACCATCTCTCCACCCCCACTTTAGTGCTTTATATAAGATGATCTTCACCATTTCATGGTTATTATTCTTTTTCAGATGCTTCCTCTTCTTATTTTTATTTTACTTCTTATTTTTATTTTATGTGTATGAGTATATTGCCTGCATGTATATAAGTGTATCCATGTCATGCAATGCCCTCAGAGGTCAGAAGAGGGGCATTGGATTCCCCTGGACAGTTGTTTGCCACCATGTAGGTGCTGGGAATTGAACCCAGGTCCTCAGCAAGAGCAGCCAGTGCTCTAAACCACTGAGCCATTGAATAAATGGCTCCAGCCCCTTGAATAAATTTTTAAAGAAATCATTTATTTTGTGTAGATGTGCAAATTAGAACAACTGTATATGGGATTGTCTTACATATTGCCAAATCTCTTCTGAATTAGAAATTTCTTCTGAATTAAAAATTATATCCTTGTCATTGTTCACAATATCAGTCATGCTTTTTATATATTTTTAAAAATTTTTAATAACTACATGATTAGAAGAAGCATTTCATTATAGCTTTAACATATTCAGTAACACACTTCAGAGCAAGAGTACATCTTTCACAAGTGGCTGTAAGTTTCTATGTTCACAGTTGAATATTTTTTTTTGCTTCATCTAACCTCCTAAAAATCTATTTTAAGTGTCTATTTTAAGTGTTTTTTGAAAGAAAAGTCTTCGGTTTTTAGACTGCCTTTTGTTATCTCTGTATTTCTCAACTCCAGCTTTAGCTTTGCTAATGCTTGTTATTTTTCTAGCTTATTGAGTTGAATGTTGAGTTTTATGTATTTTCAGACTTTTTAAGTTAAAATGCTTTTGCTTACCCAGATAGTTCCCTCCCACCTTTTAAAAAATAATTGCTCCATTTAACCAAGTATATTTTTCTATTCTACTTTTTCTACTTACCATCATTTTTCTTCCTCTGACTAAAATTATATTTTTCCAGGAAAAACTTCCTTTTTGTGTAATTTTTTTTGAATTTTTGTGTACTTCATACAAAACATCTTACTCATCTTTATACTTCCTTCCCAATTAGTGCCCTCCCATAGCCTCCCTCCCCCACTGGAATTCATACATTCTGTCATTTGTGTTAAGGCTTATCATGTCAAGTTAGTATCCCCAGAAGTCCCTCAGTAAAAATTCATCCACTGGGATCTAGTCAGTCTATCTAAGAGTCCCTCCCTTTAAGAAGATCAGCTCTTCCTCACCGAGCAGTAATCAGCTGCCAATATTTCTTTGACTAAGACTGGGGTCTGCTGTACATTTCCACAGTTCTGTGCTGGGTTTTTGTCTGCTTAAGTTTGCATGGGTCTTATGCATGCTAACACCATTGCTATAGGTTCATATGAGAAGGGTCCCAGGACCCTGTAGGATTCTATTCCCATATGGTCAGGCACCTCATCTCTAGCTCCTTATAATCTTTCTGGCCCCTCTTTAGAAATTATCCCAGTCCCTCCCACTCTTACCGCTTGAAGTAGGGTTAATCTCAAATCTTCAGCTCTAAGAGTGACTACATGAAGCAAGCATAGCCAACCAAAGAATCCCAACCCCTAGAAGTACATCTAGATAGAGAAGGGCACAAAACTTCACACTCTGGTCTCTGGGTTATTATCCAATGGTAACCTCCCACATCTGACAGACTTTGAACCACTGATATACTTACTCAAAGTCAGAGGTGTTGATGAGCTTGGAAGGTATTGTGCCTCAAGAATCTGCAGCTGAATCCTGCTATTTACTGCTTGAAAACAAGTCCCCAATTCAAGTTCTGCATGGCAAACCTACATATGAAAAGTATCATTTAGTAGTTTGTATTAAAGTTTGGAGATTTTTAAAGTTCTAAGATAAAGAGCTAGAGATAGAAAATTTCCAACTATTGCTTTCTATTGACACTAAAAACTACAAGTTACAAGAGAAGGTTATGAGGATAAATATCATGGATCTTGAATATATCCAATATATTCACTTGGACAGATTCTGAAACTATAAGATATACCTACACACTGAACTTCGAAATTACTGACACAAAAAGATAGTTCAACTAAAAAACAAAATTAAATTTCTAAGTCATATTACTGGAGAAATTGCTTAACCAAAAGGAACACATTTTCAAAAGAATTAAAAATAGAGGCTGGAGATGGCTCAGTGCTTAAGAGCACTGGCTGAAGTGGATGAACTTGCACTAAAGGACATCTGTGTACAAATGCTTGACTGGATAGGACTTAACATATATGACAGAATGCATGAGAGGGAGTGGTTATGTGGGGGATGGATGGGGGAGGGGGTATAAACTTAACTGTTAAATGAAATGCACAAAAAATTCAGTAAAGTTTACCCAAAAAGTCCACTGGCTGCACTTATGGAGGACCCGGGTTTGGGTCCCAGCACCCACATGACAGCTAACAACTGTCTGAAACTCCAGTTCCAGGGGAGCCAATGCCCTCTTCTGATTTTTATGGGCACTGCATGACTACATACATACATACATACATACATACATACATACACACACACACAGGCAAAACACTCATATACATAGAATAAAAATAAAGAAAAAAATTTGCTGAGTCTTTTTGAGACAGGGTCTCCCTGTGGTCCCAGCTGTCCTGGAACTCACTATGTAGACCAGGCTGGCCTCGAGAAGTAAGAATTGTAGCTACCAAAATCAGCAAACAGAATTACTACAATAAACAGATCTGTGGACTAAGAGCTGAATTACTATTCTGAATGAAGTAAGCCAAAGAAAGCTGGGAAGAAAGAAGCCAGTCCAAGTCACGAGGCAGTAAGTATTAAGGAAAAGGTCAAAGAAAAGCTGAGGCAAACAAAATGATGAAGACATGTGGGGGAGATATACTCTTTAGTATCTCTGATCAAAAGCAAAATAAAACTGGTGATTTGACTTATATGGATTCTAAGGTTCTTGGAGTGAAAAATAAAAGAGAAACACAAAGCCAGCCAGGGCTATATAGTAAGACCCTGTCTGGAAAAAGAGAGAGAGTTGGCTTATCATTGAAGTCAGAAGTAATGGGTGTTAGTAAGTTGTCAGAGGAGATGAAGGCAGTTTTGCTGAACATGGTATGTATTTCTGAGATAAAAGATGTCTGTAGAGAGGGCAAAAGTTTCATGAAAGAGAAAGGGAAGGAGGGAAAAATATATCATCACAGATCTTACTAGGACTTAACATAAACAGCCACAAAGTCTTTGCTATTATTCATTCCAATAAAAAGTTACAGAATAGTTAAGTAACACGTCCTGAAAAGTTTTAACTATTTTTTTTTCTAATTTTAGAAGGAAAAGGTCAGTATTTAATAACTGCCCAGTATTCTGCAATAATTGGCTTACCGGGAAGAAACAGAACAAAAACCAACTTTCTATGTACATGCCATTGACTAAAGCTTGGGCATTTCCTTAAAACATGATGGTGTTTTAACACTGCTATACATAAGAAATGGAGAGCTTCAGTGAAAAATGAATTTCTTAAAAAAAATATAAAATGTTGAAGTTAATTTCCCCTTTAGAAAGTTTTATTATAATGATCAAACTTGTTCATTTTAGCAATAAATTTTGACTTCTTATAATAAGTGATTCTAGGACTCAATGAGGTCTCAATGTTTTAGAATGAGAATGAATTAACTATTTGCACAAGAATTCAAAGGCAATACAACAACAACAACAACAACAAAAACAATACCAAATTAAAACAAAAAGCCATTCCTGATTTTTAAAAAGTTTCTTTAAAGGTAGGAGGATAATTTATGACAAATCTGGGCTATATAGTGAGATCCTATCTGAAAAATACATACTTATATCTATGGACTTTAAATTAGTAAATTTAAACAATACAACTGGGACTGGTAATACAAGCCTGCCACTCAAGAGATTGAGGCAGGAGAACTGCAAGTTCAAGACCTTACTTACTGAGAACCATCTTTAAAAAAAGTGTGTGTGGTAGGGGTATTATAGTTGAGGGCACAGTGCTTGCCTACCATGGGCAAAGTCCTAAGTTTAATCCCTAATACTAAAAGAAAAGCAAAAGATACAGACACCATTGTTTATAAAACCCAAAGGAAACCATGGTTAAATTTTTCATCAATCTTTTTTCATTATTGTTTTATATTCATGATTAAATACTTATGAGAACACCTAAGTTGGCAAAACTTCTCATTGTTATACAATTGTAGAGTTCATGCTCATAAAACACAGAAGTCTTTGGCAATGGGTTTGCCATTTTCTACTTGCCAAAGTCATTTCACAAATTCCACTTTTGTTCCAGGACATGAACTCAGAACAATAAATTAGCAGGTATGTATTGACATTTAATAAGCATAAAACTGTGGAAGGTCTCTGCTTCTGAGCAATGTGTCATTAAAAAAAAAAACCTATTAGCCTTCCTAGAATTGTCAAAAATGAAATAGTAAGAGAATATTAATTAAAGAAAATCTGGTGATAGTTAAGAACATTTTATGGGGGGTGGCAATAAATACATGGTAGAACCCAGAGAGCTGGTTATAGAAACAAATTCCACTCTCCAACTCCTGGCTCCATAAACTCACGCATGCTTCACTATTATTCTCTGTTACTAGGGATAACCTGAGCACACATTCTTTTCTAAGCATGGGGTGAACATCAGGTACGTTAGCAATGAGTGAGCCATAAAGGTAAATTTCTATAAAGGTCAGACATTTCTTCAGGAAAACTTTGCCTTGTCCACAGTACAGAAACTTGAAATCTCAAGTAATACTTAACATACTACTAGTCAGGGTCAAGAACTCTATCAAGAAAAACACTGGCTCTGGACCAAAGTTGTGTTATCCATGGAGAAATGGCTGTCAATGTTGATGGGTATGTAAATCTGGATCTTTAAATGTCACAATTAAAGTTATCTATTCTCTTCAACACATGAAGAATAATAATTCTTGCCTTGGACAATATGAAACATCAACACAGTAACATAAATTCACTCATCTAGAATAGCTCAAATTCTCTTTTTTCAAGTTGTCTATCTTTGTAACCCTAGCACCTGCCAGACAATAGATACATAGGTTAATTATAAGACTTGCAACAAATCAGTATCATTTTGAAGAATGTAGCCATAATCATTACTTCAAATTCTTCAAAGAAAACAATTTCCTTCACTGAGTTCTGGTGTACTCTGTCTTCAGTGTTTTAATTGATGAAATCTTCATTTGAGAACCATATTTGTATCTTCTGTAAAATATTATTATAGATTACTATCTACTACACTCATGTAAATGATACCAGTGACAAACTCCTGTCCCAGTTGTATTTTAACAGAAAATGACAGTCTAATTTTCATGCCTGCAGTCATCATTTACTCATTCATTGCTACCTACAGACAAATATTTAGTAGCAATAATATGCCAAGCCCTCAGAAACAGCAGGGCAAAATATGAGGAAAGCAAATGGAAGCTTAAGCCCACTTTTGTTTAAAACAAGTAACTTAAATAATTTTAAAAATGTTAACAAATGCCATAAAGGAGCACATTGGGAAGGTGGTTAATCCCATAACTCAGAAGTCAGAGACAGGTAGATCTCTATGAGTTCAAAGCCAGCCTGGTCTATATAGGGAGCTGCAGACCAGTCAGGGTTACAATAGTGAGACACTGTCTCAAAAAAAAAAAAAAAAAAGAAGAAAAGAAACACATTGGGGATTGAGATTGACTGAAAATATGGGCAATTCTTTTGGCCAGTTTTTTTTTTATATAAAATTTTAATCTCTAATTTCCCCTTCCAATCTGGTGGTTCTCAAGACACATAATAATCACTCGGGAGTCAGGTGTGGTGGTGCACATCTTTAATCCCAGCACTTAGGAGGCAGAGACAAGAGAACCTCTCTGAGTTCAAGGCCAGCCTAGTCTACACAATGAGTTCCAGTACAGCTGGGGCTACAAGGACACCCTGTCTCAAAAAGACAAATAAATAAATAAATAAATAAATAAACAAACAATCAGTTGGGAATCTATTGAAGACTTCAAATGCTTCTGTTCCAGCCTCTAAGAAATTTTAATTTAATTGTACTGGTTTAGATGTGGACATGCTTTAAAAATTCTCAGGTGACACCAAGTTTCTTTTAAGAAGCACTTCAAGTTATCCTAAATATTTTTGGAAGAGGTAAAATATTAATTCTAATTAAATTTGAAATCACACACAGGTTTGAGCTTATAAAACTTGTAACGTTTCTATAAAATTATCCCAACACAGAAACTACATAATTAAATTATTAGGAATTTCAAAACACTTTCATTACACTGTTTGACTGGCTTGCTGAGAGAACCAAGTATCAACTCTCAAAAGTAATCAAGCACTTTTTCAAAAAAGAAAAAGATCAGCTTTACAAACTTCCATTCTTGGGTCAGTGAGATGGGCTCAGCAGGTTAGGGGTGCTTGCTGCCTTGCCTAACGACCCCACTTTGATCACAGGAATCCACATGGTAGAAGGGGAGAAACAACTCCTACAAGTTGTCCTGTGACCTCTGCACACATGCTGTGGCATTCACGAGTACTCCTCCACATATAACACATGTCAAAAAGTTTTAGATATAAAAGATTAAAAATCTTTAAAAATTTCATTCTGTGATAAGGGTGCAGTTCGGTAGTAGAGCATGTGCTCATCAATATGGGTGAGGTACTGGGCTCAATACTTAGCACCAGAGGAAAAACAAAACAAAGCCCAACTTCCATGCTAACCAGTTTGCCAACATATAGCTTGCCCATATGATTAAATTAATTTTCTCCATTTACTTTGTGGTAATCACAGACTACATAAGGGTTTTATGATTCATTCTTATTTTTCCTGAGTCATCAACTACTAAAACCATTTTAAAAATTAATTATTTAAAGTTATTAATACTTCATGATTATTCCCTTTAGGGTTACTGCTCTTAAAATATGAAACGTTGATGAAAAATGTGCTAGGAAGGGGAAACATGAGGCTATTCTCCAATGCAGAAAAAAAAACGGTTATGTTAATGTTTTATAAATTATTTCTAAAGTATCACTTTAAAATAATACTGTTTCTTCAGAGCTTTCCTGGTCTTCTAATATACTATACTATAATGTTCAAGTTATCCTCCAACAAATAAAAAGTTATTCATGGCTGGAGAGATGGCTCAGTGATTAAGAGTACTGGCTGTACTCTGAAGAGAGGACCCAGCACCCACATAGTGGCTAACATCTGTCCTTAACTCCAGTTCCAGGGAATCTGACACCCTTTTCTGGCCTCTGTGGGCATTATATAACACAAGTACATTTACATGTATTCAGGCAAAACACTCATACACATAAAATACTTTTTAAAAAGTTATTAATTAAATCATTATAAAAGTGTGAAAAAGTTTCAACATTGTATACTATTGTCACTTACAGGAATTTTTGAAGGTGGTATTATTTCCAATGAATAATCCATTTCCTGTATGCTAAGAGTTCTGAGTGACAGAGAGCATTCTCCAATGGTTTTCTTCCTGGGGGTCTGGGTTTGAATCTTAAATATAAGCCTTATAGTTTGTAGATTTTGTAGTTTAATAGCAAAGACAAAAGTTTCCATAAATTCGACAACCTTAAAAAATAAGAAAACATTAAACACTAAAAAGGCTGATATACCATTATAAAATTAGATTTTCTATCTAAGAAAGGCATGCATAATGTTTTTACAACAACATACATTTTAAATGAAAATTAAATAGACATGATTTGTTTTATCATCTTCCTTAACTTCACAAATCATCCTTATAATTACTAGGAAATTCAGGTCAGTATTTACACCAAGCTCACCAGAGTACAGCTTTTCCTTTTTGAAAATAAGACTATTTTTCCATCTTTGGCTCTAGGACATTTCTCTTGCTATTCATAATTTTTCAACAGTTAATGAGAGTGATTGAAGAATTCCATATGCAAGCTTACCAAAAGTCTAGAATCTAAGTTGTTCACATAGACTTGAATTCTCTCTTTAAAGAATCTGAACACTAGATTGTTTTTTGCTATACACTCTCTTCTTTCCACCTTTACTGCAGCCTTTTGAAAGTCAACATATGTAGCCAACTAATAAATATTTTGGATACTGTCCCCAATTTTTCATTTATATTATAATCATTTATACCTGAAAATCACATTCCTATGAGTCTCCCAACCACTAAGCTTTTTCTTTGAAAAGTGATGAATATGAGAAAAACAGGAAAAATTTCAAACACAAAAAAATTCACTTACACTGGAACCTTCTTTGGCTGAAGACTTGAAGTGCACTGGTTTGGGCAAGGTTAGAATTCCTTTTATAGAAATTGTGGGAGTGTCTCCAAAACTAGAGGGCCAAGTTAAATCTCTGCACTAAAAAAAATTGGAAGTATAATTTGAAGTTTTACCAAGAACTCTAACAATACAAATATGTGACATTAAGTTAATGACTTTTAACAAAAAAAATTAAGTAAATTTTAGAATACTGACTTCATGTTTCATCCACATTCAAATATGACATTATTCTAGATGTCCTACTAGTTTCCTTCTTGAAGTTAAAAACATACGCATTCCATCATACTACAATCTGTTTTCTTAAATGCTTTCATAAATTACCATGGCAAGTAATAGGTTTCACTATGACATTTCCAAGTATACTTTGTTTGGTTGATCCTCTTCTTCTGTTCCTTTCCCCTGTACCTCTGCCATGCCTTCCACTCTTGCCCCCTTCCATCCTCAGTAGTCCCCTTTCTACTTTAAAGTCACATGTAGTCTATGATTATCCCCAATCCCCTTCCTTGAAATTTCTTTTCCCCCATCATGGCTCCCTCTCTAGTTTCCTGACCTATATCTACATAAATACAAATGCATAAAAATTAAAAGCAGGATTCATTTATGAGAGAATACATGTGAGAAAACATGCAATATTTGTCTTTCTGAGTCTTGGTTATCTCACTTTATAACTTCCAGAAGATCTATTTTCCTGGAAATTTCATAATTTCATCCTTATATGGATAATATTCCATTGTGTATATATTACCACATTTTTATTATCTATTCATCTTTGATAGACATCTAGGCTGACATTATTTCCTTGCTATTGTGAAGAGCAATGAACTCTGTAGTAGGATTTCTAGTCCTTTGGACATATGCCCAGGAGTGATATAGTTAAATCATATGGTAGCTCTATTTTTGTTTTTTTTTTTTTGAGAAACCTCCACAGTGATTTCCACAGTGCTAGACCACTTTACCACCAGCAGTGAAAAAGTTCCTTTTCCCCAACATCCTCACCAGTATTTGTTGTCATTTGTTTTTTTATGATAGCCATTCTCACTGGCATGAGATGGAATCTCAAAGTAGTTTTAATTTGCACTTCCCTAATGGCCAAGGATGCTGAACACTTTTAACAGTATTTATTGTCCATTTTTATTTCTTCTTTCAAGAGCTATCTGTTCAGTTCATTAGCTCATTTATTGATTGGCAGTTTCATTTTTCAGTGTTTAACTTTTGCAATATATATATATATATTCCAGACCTTAACTTCACCTGAAGTGTAGTTGGCAGAGATGTTCTCCCACTATGTAGGATGTATGTTCACCCTTCTGACAGTTTTCTTTTCTATGCAGAAGCTTTTAAATTTCATGTAATCCCATCGGTCAATTCTTGGGATTATGTCCTGTGCTACTGGGGTCCTATTCACAAAGGTCTTGCCTACGCCTATATCTTAAAGTCCCTCTAGCAGTTTCAGTGTTTAAATGTTTTATTAGACAGTTTGTCTTCAAAATAGTATAGACTCTTACATTCTGAAACAGTTACTGGCCCCTCTCAGGCAAACGCAATGCTAGATACTCTCAGAGTCTAAATGTTCAATTTTATGGAAAAAATTGGTATTAACTACACTAATTTACCTGTAAAACTGTGATCCAGATCTGCTCTGCTGAAGAATTATAAAACAATTTCACATTCAATCTCCCCAAATCTCTTTCATCTCCTGATAGGGTAATTGTATCTGAGTTGTAAAGGACAAAGATTAAAAATTCCACGCAATCTTTTTAACCCATTTAAGCTTTGATATAATTCATTTTTAAAAGCACAAATGAAAATTGCTACCATTTTTAAAAGTCACAATATAATAAGACAAAAATCATGCACCTACTTTTTTATTGAAGTCCTTCTACACACTATAGGAAGCACATAGTGTAGGAACTAACAAAACTGCAACCTTCACAAATAACATTCATAAGGTCTATATGCTTCTGAAAGTTCCTTCATTCAGATACTTTAAAGCACGCAAATAAAAGCTATGTAACTGCTTCACTTTAAAGAGATTCATTCCTGAGCTAGAAAGATGGTTCAGCAGTTAAAAGTACTTACTGCTCTATCAGAGGACCAGAGGTCACATCCAAGTACCCACATCAGGTGGCTCACAAACACTTGTAACTCCAGCTCCCAAGGTATCTAACACCACCTTCTAGCCTACAGTGGCACCCACAGACACAGAGAACTAAAATAAATCTTTAAAAAATAATAATAAAAAGTTTTACTCCTGCCTGAACTCTGAGGCATGGGCCATCTGATCTGCATTTCCATAAATGATACTACTACTAACACAGGTATAACCAGCATATAAAATATATAGAATGCTTTTTCTTTCTCAATCATATACAATGTCAAACTACTAATAAGTAGAAATAATTTCTTGCACAATAATAACACAGGATACTTTATTCCTTACCCAGGCTTCTGTTACTGCCCTGAGAATTTTTTCTTGAAGAAGAACTACTGGGCACACTGGACAGTGAATCATGTCTCTACAAATAGAATTCTTTGGTCAGAAATTATGCATCAAATTTTAAAGATTCTAACTCTTATGCCCCAGTAACTACCCTGCATATCAAACTGCATGCTAATCACTTTGTCCGAATTTCTACTTTTATAGGAGAGGGAAAAAACTTTCTAAATATGTATCAGGAAAATCTTAAATACCTTATTAGATAACATATTGGAAAGTGGCATTTTTGGTTTGGTTTTATAATAAACAGAAATTACTTCTTAATTTTCATACTTAAAGAACAGCATTATCAAAGCAAAGACCCTCTAGACCAGGAGCATCAGCATTACTTGCAAACTTTGTACAAATATAAATTCAGGACCCACCACAGGACAATTTAATCAAAAACCCTATGGGTGGGGCTGGAGGATGGCTCAGGGGTTAAGAACACTGGGTACTCTTAGAGAGGACCAGGATTCGGTTCCCAGCACCCACATGGTAGCTAACAATCATCCATAGCTCCAGTTCCAGGGGGATCTGACACCCTCTTCTGGCCTCCACAGGCATTGTACACATGGGTACACTTACATACATGTAGGCAAAACACTCATACACATAAAATAAAAATAAATAAATTTTAAAGCTGGTTATGTTAAGTAAGTACTTTTTTAACAGATGTAAACTATTTATTGAATATTTGCCACCAAATATTGTTAAATACATTATCTTGCACCATATCACTTTCAAGTTAAAATGTCAGAAACAAACACCAATATTTACAATTCTTTTAAGGAATGTTATAATGATACATTAAGGCGTAAATTCTTTTGGTTTATAATTCTTAAAAGAACAATAGCAAAGTGATGCAAAGTCTTCAATGTGAGATTATGATTAAGCTACATTTTACAAAAATATGATGTAAGATGGCAATTATCCCATTCGGCATCCTGGATTGGATCCTTCAGGAGGGACTGATAATTTATACAGTCAACTTTAAAATTTACAGATAAAGGCAGATCAATACTGCCATTGAGAAATACATCTCTTAACATATACAACTTTCAGGCCACTGTTTTGAAGGTCTGAAGTATCAAGTTTGTTTGATGAATTAGTCTGTTAGCACTTAGGAACACATTTATTGCCTTGTCATCTTTAAAATATGTTTTCAGAGTATCACTGAAACTTTTGGAGTACTTTACAAATTCTTTCTTTTGTTGTTCAAGTGCCCTGTGATTCTGGTATTGATATTCCTTGAAAACATTATTCACTGTATCAAGTAGTTATTTTATTGCACTAGCTATATCCTTGATTGTAGAAACCTCACTCTGTGATTGATCTCATCTGGGATCTTACTGAGACTCTGTTTAAGTGCTCGTGCCTTTTCATTTAGGTCCTGGAATTCTGGCTCTGGAATTCTAGGACCTAATCATGTACTCTTCTACGTCATCAGATGCCATATGAAGGAGGGACTCTGTGAAGTTAGCTTCCACATTTTTTTCCTCTAGAATTTTCATAATGATGCCTTGTGTGAGACCTGGATTTTCCTTTTCAGCCTTAATGAAAGCGGCCCTCAGGGTCTGAGCTGCAGACAAATTTACTCGTTCTGGCTCATTAAACACAGGATACATGACTGCATAGAGGGGCATATAAACCATGGAAGTGGTCTCAGCTTCATTCTTCATGTCTTCCATTGTCATCATTCAAAAGCCAACTACAGTAGAAAAGCAGTGCTAAAATACAGAGGAATCTTCATTCACGGCAGTATGTCTTCCCTGTTTCATGTGCAATAAAGAATGGTGCACACAAAAATGAACACCAATCTTACCAGCAACTGAGGCACAGACTTCACTTCCCACCTTCGGAGCCCTCTTCAACTCCTGGATCAATTCACTCCGGCGACACCGGAAGGACCCCTAAGTAAGTACTTTTAACTATACCATAATAAATTCTAACTGCCTCCAAATCCTTAAGTATATACCAACTGAGAAATATATAATTCATGCAAAACAAAATAAAAACACTGTCTTTTATTAGTTAGTGGAGAGTTTTCTAAAATAATGAATAAGGGAAATGCCAAGTATTTATTCTTCAGCTATTAGAACACATATAGTCACAGAAATGCCGTATGTCATTCTTAATGTACTTCACACATTTTTAATTTTTTTATTTGAAAAAAAACCACACTTAATTAAACTGATAACACTATTTTTACCTGGATGAATCGCTGAGATGAACTTGTAAGATCAAACATAGATTTGCTTAGCCCAGGGGAACCGAGAAGTTTACTGGTCCTTAAATCACAAACTACAAAAAGACAAGAGAATACTATTTTCATAGTAAAGAAAATCTAAATTCTACCAAATTACCAAAAACTAAATCTCTATAGGATACATCATACACAGCATATACAAGTCTACATAAAAATAAGTTCTTATAAAATCTACAACATGAGCCAGCTGTGGTGGTGCATGCCTTTAATCCCAGCATTTGAGAGGCAGAGGAAGGCAGATCTTTGTGAGTTTAAGGCCAGCCTGGTCTACATAGTGAGTTCCAGGCCAGTTGGGGCTACAGAGAGACCTTGTCTCAAAAAGACCAAAAAGAAAAAATCTAAAACAGTTCTCTCTCAATTATTTTCCTCTTTAAAACAGAAGTCCATCGGGTGTGGTAGCACAGTACTTGGGAGGCAAAGGCAGGTGGATCTCTGAGGCCAGCCTGATCTGCATAGCCAGTGCAAGTTCCAGGCCAGCTGAGGCTACAGGAAGACCCTCTCTCTCTCCTCAAAAAAAAAAAAAAAAAAAAAAAAAAAAAAAAAAAAAAAAGAACAGAACAACAACAACAAATAGCAATCAAACACATTTTCATATCCACATCAATTTTCAAATAGGTTTTTTTTTCCGTATTACCCAATTCTTCATCCAAAAAGAACATTCTTAGGAGAATGGAAATACTCTGCACTAAATGTAATTCAACCACTATTTAATGAGCATGTATCACATAAAAACGTTCAATTCTGAATCCCCTATGTTCTTGTATTTCTAGTGCCCCTCCAAACTGCAAGATCCTTTAAAAAGGAACTCTGCACACCAAGTGTGTATCTAGCACAGTAGTGAGTACAGAGCAAGCTCTTAATCAGTTTTTATTTAGCACCTCACCCTGAATTCAGTCATGCCAATACATATAAATATGGAAATTACACATATTTATGTGGTGTAAAAACCCTGAAAAACAGAATTTTACAAATCAGAGGCACACATGGTAGTTTTGAACTGTTATAGTCTCAAATATGAAACTAAAAAGTTCTACAAATTGGCCGGGCGTGGTGGCGCACGCTTTTAATCCCAGCACTCAGGAGGCAGAGGCAGGCAGATCTCTGTGCGTTCAAGGCCAGCCTGGTCTACATAGGGAGTTCCAGGACAGCTGGGGCTACAAGGAGACCCTGTCTCAAAAAGACGAAAAAAAAAAATTCTACAAATTAAGCATTTTGTATTTTGTTCTATTTCTAATCATGAGTTCTTAAATTCAGTTAGCTGATTAGAACCAAAAAAGAAAAATTATAAATATCTATTGTAGAATTTAAATATATAGCATATATAATTCAAGCAAAATAATCTAAAAAGTAAACTTTCAAAAAGGAAAAATAAAATGGAGTTTGGACTACCAACAGAAACAATGCATTAATACTTGAATTGTTTTATTAATTTTAACACTACAGAGAAGTCATGATGCTTATCATACACTTGTGAAGTCTGTTTTGCTTTTATTTATTTATAAATATTTTGTTTATTATCTTTATTTTATGTGTATGAGTATATTGCCTGCATGTACGTGAGTGTACCTGTGTCATGCAATGCCCACAGAGTTCAGGGTGTCAGATCCCCTGCAACTGGAGTTACAGACGGCTGTTAGCCACCATGTGGGTGTTGGGATTCGAACCTGGGTTCTCTGGAAGAACGGCAAGTGTTCTTAACCACTCAGTCACCTCTCCAGCCCCTGCTTTGCTTTTATTTTAGAAATGCTCTTAATAGTAATTTTTTTTTCTGCCAGGGTCTTAGATTTTATTTCTAAATATGTTAAAGAGAAACACAGAGGAAAAGGAAAAAATAATTCTTACCAGATCCATACAGTTTTCTTGTTTCTAAATGAGGAGGAAAGCGCCGACTCAAGTCAGGTGAAAAGTGTTGATACATATAGCATGGATTATACACGTCATAGCTGGGTCCATGGTGGGATGAACTGGAAAGTTCTACCTTACGATCTCCAAAAGATGCTCTAGCAGATCCTGAAAGCAAGTATTTCTATAAGTCAAAAGCTGATACACTTAAGGGAAAGTATAAAAATACTGAATCATATGCCTTTGAGATCTAAAACAATTGGCACATAGCTTTAGAATTCTAATTGCAGTGTATATGTAAAGGTAGAGTCAGGAATCCTGCTTTTAAGACAGCCTGGAAAATATCTGGCATTTTTGCCCTATAGGCAACTCTGTATTTTGTGACCTAAATTTCTCCTTGTTTTTCTACTGATACATATAACTCTTTTAAATGAAAAGATTTTTCTTGAGACCCATTCTCTTTAACACAGAACATTTGAAAAACTGACCATATACTGAGATACACAAAGCAGATCTTATATTTAAAAGAACTGAAATCAAGCAAAGTATTTTTTTAACCACAATAGAGTTAAGTTGGAACTCAAGTAACAACAAAAAAAATGAATAGAAAATATTTATGAATATACTAAGGGCCAAAAATATATTTTTTAAATATACCATTTAATAAGAAAAACAGGGCTGGAAAGATGGCTCAGTGGTTAAAAGCACTTGTTGCTGAGTTTGTTTCCCAGCACCCATATCTGTGAGCTACAACCATCTATAATTCCAGTTCCAGGAGATCTGACACCCTTTTCTGGCCTCTGAGGGTACCCACACACATATGGGGAGGGAGGGAGGGAGGGAGGGAGAGGAGAGAGAGAGAGGAGAGAGAGAGGAGAGAGAGAGAGAGAGGAGAGAGAGAGAGAAATCTTTTAAAAAGAAAGAAGATTAAAAGCTTTTTTGTGTGCTGGATATTAAGAATTGAATTCTGGCACTATGATAGGAAAATAGATTAATGAAAAGAATGCAAGGCCCTGAGAGAGTACCTATTTTATGAACACCTGATATTTAATCAAGGTGACTTCATATAGCAGTGGAGAAAGAATAGTGTTTGCACTACAGTTAACTGCTGATAAAGAAAACACTTTATTTAATCAATAATATTCATAAAAATTAATTCTACATAGGTCATAGATCTAAGTTAAACACCAAAAACAAACAAATTTCTATATTTAAGTTATTTGTAAGAAAGTTTCACAACCCTAAAACAGGGAAGTACTTTTTAAATGGAACACAGGACAGTAATCATAAAATGTATTTATGCTTATTTAAATTAATTTTATTAAAATTTAAAATTGCATTTGTCAAAAAATTACTTGAGAGTACACAGGTGCCCCAGAATGGGAGATAACACATGCAAGAAAATGTAACTGGAAAATAAATGAGACGCCCCTAAAAGTCAGTAAGAAGACGACAGATAAGCCTCTATACAAATTGGTTCACTACTTAAACAGGCACTTAGAAGAAAAATGTGATTTAAAAGCTCAGGGAGATATACAACTGAAATGGTTAAAACTAAAAAGATTGACAATAAGAAGTGTTGATAAGAAAGTAGAGCAGTATATACTGTTGTATTCTTCCCTTGGGAATGAAAATTGATACAATCACTGTGGAAGAGCTTGCTAATTTCTACTAAAGCTGAAGATATTTATACCCTATGATTCAACAATGCTATTTCAAACATATACACAGCTGAAACTGCTGTACGCTCACAAGACACACAAGAAGTTTGCAAGCATTGTCATCCTTACTAGTCAAAAATTAGAAAAAAAGTCCAGTGCCCACCAACAGTAAAATAGAAAAAAAAGTAGCATGCTATCCCACGCCATTTAAAACAAAGAGTCTCCAAGTGCAACCGATTATGACTAATAGATACATACAGATTAGGGATGCATGCACCTCTCAATGTTAGTAGCAAATACAATGAGTCTTTCTGCAAGGAACAATATATTCTAAAATGAAATGGAGATTTTTTTTAAAGGTTAAAAACTCATTCAATTTTATGTCTTACAAGGCTTATACTGAGTTCTATAACTGTATTAATTCAACTGTGAACCTAGAAACTTACAGTCACTTGTGAAAGAGATGTACTCTTGCACTAGAGTGTGTTAGTGAATATGTTAAAGCTGTAATGAAATGCTTCTTCTAATCATGTAGTTATTAAAAATTAAAAAAATAAAGAAATCAAGAAAAATAAATAAAACAAAGAGTGAATTGTAACACATACTTATATTTGGACATGAAAACAAACTAAAACTATTAGCTACTTGAATGACTCTCATAAGCATAATGTTGAACAAAAAAGATATAAACAGGAGCTGGGGAAATGGCTCAATGGTTAAGAGTACTGGCTGCTCTTGCAGAGGACCTAGGTTCAATTCCCAGCACCCACATGGCCTCCAAAACTCCAGTTCCAAGGGAAGCCAGTGCCCTCTGCTGAGCTCCATGGGCATTGCACAACACAGGTGTACTTACATGCATGCAGGCAATACACTCATACACAAAAGATAAAAATAATAAAGTTTTAAAAGATATAAACAAAAAATATGAACTGAATACGTAATTTCATTTAAACACCAAAAATTTAAAAAAACATAATGTTTAGGAATATGTGCTAGAATTATTATTTTAAAGATTGTTCTACTAATTACCCTTAGTGAATGAAGGTTGGGAAGAGGAACACTTTAGGGTCGCTGTAATTAATACTCTATTTCTTTATGTGGGTGGTGCCTACATATGGGTTTTGCTCTTTAATAAAACACCAAGTTTTACATTTCTGTTTTGTGCATTTTCCTCCATATATATGACATCTCACAATTTTAAAAGGGGAAAAA